TTTTTACAATATAAACGATATTTTATAAAAGTTTTTGACTAAAATGTGCCATAAAAATAGATAAAAATACCGCTTCTTAGCATTTTAACACACTTAACCTTTTCAAAATTAAGCATATTGTACAATTCAAAACTTTATTAATAATTTTTAACCCAATACCTCAAAATTCTATCAAAATTTTTAAGTGAGACCTAGAAGCAATCACCCAAACTCAACCCCATAAACGTCTGACGTCTGAAAGCATAATAAAATAATATTATCATGTGTTAACTCGTAATATTTGATTACTACATTATCACACAATCAGCATTCACACGTTTCATTAGCCCTGCCATGTCAATTCCCTGGAAATTATGTCAAAGATTCAGGTTAACAATCGTCCAGTCCCGGACTCTGTGCATAATAATTTCTCTGAAAATGAGAATTCTATACCCAACACATATTTCTCAATCAGAAGGGTCCCCAAAAGGGACCCAAACACCTTTTTGGACGACAATTGCCATAATTTGCTTACATTGGGGGAGGGGATAATGGAGCTCGCTGCCACCCGCAAAGCCTTTGTAATCGGCACGTTTTATCGCCACCCAAACGCACACCCAAAAATTCAATGATGATAAATATCACAGAAATTTCAATAGAACAAGTTTTAGCCTTCGACCTTTTCCCTTTTTCCTCCACAAAAACACACACATTCAGACATAAAATGGCGGCGGGCAAATGACGCGCTCGTGATTCCTCTAACCAAAAATCCACACTTTCCGAACTCCCACCAGCATCCCGAGGCCCTTGCAACAAAGCTATATATCCGCACTATTGTTGTTATTATTGTTGTTGTTGCTGCTGGTCGTGTGGTTGCTGTGTGTTAATGCTTTTTGAGAGATAAAATGCCATAAAAACGCCACCGCCCGCCGTTTATTTTGTGTGCGAAGAGGAGCCGCAGCAGCAGGTAAGAGCCAAGAGCCGTCTGCTGCACACACAATCATACATATATATAAGTACATATAGATTTCGATGCCGAGACTGAGACCAACAAAGTCATCCCAGACATTAAGTAGAACAGAGCCAGAGTGGCAGCCAGCAGCAGTCGCTCTCCCTCGCCCATTCATTCACTTATGTATTCATTTTAACGATGACGACAGGTAAAATCGGATGGACGGACCCAACACACTTGTGGGTGGGCTCAACGTGTGAATAACCAAAATAAAAAAAATGTATATTTAAGAAAAAAGGGTAGAAAAATCGGTTTAACGATTTTTAAATGCTCTTTAAAATAAGAGTTTAGGTCCTAAAATGAACTTTTACAACTTTACACCTTATTTTCAGAAGCGATTTAATAAATAAAATTTTTTTTTAAATTTATAAATAATTTTTCTTTTATAATTTTATTTAAGAAAGTCATAGAAAGTCATAGTCATAGGTAAACATTATTTCAGTTCATAGAAAATTTATGGATTGAAATAAAATTTGAAAAATCTCAAATGTATAATGCAAAAATACTTACATAAATGAAGACCAAAAATATCCAAAGAAGACCAAAATATGCTTGCGCTACTTTCGTAACCGAAGTTTACCAAAGTTTATAAAAAATATCTTGTTTTTTTCTATCAATGTACTATTGCCAGGTTTAGTTTTACAGTGATCATTTTTGTGATCAGCTTTTTGCTTGAACAGTATTGTTTAAAATAGAATCATTTGTAAGGTTATACTTATGTTTACTAACATTATTTTTAACTTAGAAATTATTATTTTCATTTTCAAACAATATAAAAATTCAATAAAAGACCAACTAAATATTCCAGAGATATTGCAATTGATTAAGATATAAAACAAAATCAAATACACCTAGTTTGGAATGAAAATATCTCAAAATAATAATTCAGTAAAATCTAGAATATACAAATTAAGTCTCCTAAGAGAGCATAAATTTCTCTTCAAAATACTACACCTCATATAAATTCAGAGATCCCTTATACCTTCGTACCTTAACACACAAATTGTTTACAAAATCATAGTAACTCTTGTAAAATGTAAGGGCATACAAAAAAACTATAAAAGCACAAGCATTCTAAACAACAAGAGTGCTTTAAAATAACAACAAATTGCTAAGTTATCCCTAAAAAAAGTAAGGATGCTCCTCCGCAGGGGAACACAGATTCTTCGACTTGCGACTTGTCACTAGTTAGCGACTTAACGCTCGGCTTCCCTTCAGCTTCAGCTTGTCAGCTCCCAGCTTCTTATTTTTTTTCAACGCCAACATCAGCTGCTTTTTAGCTTTTTTGCTACGTTTTCGGTCGGAGCACTAAAGATAAGAAACTTTTTGCTCGCTGCTGTTTTTCGTACTGCTCGGCCCGTGTTGTTGGCGTGTTTTTATTTAGACCTTAAGCCTATGCCGTGCAATAAAAATAAAGCCATAGAAAAACTTATTTACACACTCGCCAAACTTTGTGCGCTCGTGGGCCGATGGGATGTATGTACATAATTTACAATAGCGGGCAATAGTTTAGCTAACAAAAAGCTTCAAGTACTTAAATTACTAAATCTAAAAACACTTTATATCTGTATTAACTATGTATATTAAAAGTCCAAGATACTGGAAAAATTAGGATACTTATTGTTACTTGGTACTATAATCAAACATTTTATATATAATTTAAATTAAGAAAGTGTTTATGTTTATTTCATATACATTTTGGAGGTTACGGTAGTAAGACTCTACTGTGGTATAAGTTTTATATTACTTCAATAAATCATTTTCTCTTAATTCGTTATTATAAAGCTTCTTTCAATGGATATAAATGTTTTTTTTTTGCAAAAACCAGTTGGGAATCATAGCAGAAAATATGAAAAATAAGTGTTTCTTCTATATGAATGTATGAGTAGTAGGATTCCAAAGGGATTGGTTTTGCAAAGAAAGTATAAAATGGTTTAAAAAAATCATACAGCTACACAAATTAAATTTATTCCGGATCCGAATTACATTAAGAAAGTTTCATATCCAGAACCCACGATATAGGTGCAGATTTATAGATTTTATTCTGTTGTGCCAATAATAAATACACCATTTACATCTTATAGTACATCTACTAATTTTATTTCAAAAGACACTAATATATAAAATCCTTATTTCTTATCTCTTTAATTTGTTTTATTAAGTTTATTTTATTTATCTGAAACCCCTGGCTTCATTATTTTGTCCACATTTGTTCGTATACATATTTACATAGCCATATATACTCTCTTTCGGTTGTTCATTTCTGTGCTTTTAGTTTTAGTGGCCGCCTTAGTTTCGTTTCTGCTCGTTCTACTCGTCTTTTGTATATTGTTTTTTGTCATTTTCATTGTTCGGCTTCTTCGGTGCGATGTCGTCGCATTAGCGATGTTATTTAGCAGCTTTTTTTCTGGGCAAAGTTCCTCGGACTCGGACTCGGAGTCTTCTTGAGGTTCTTGCCGCCAGACCCGGAGTAGAAAATTTCAGCTTTGTTTCGCGCGCGTTAAATGCCATGAGATGGCAGAAATTTCCCAAAGCAATTTCTCAGCGTCTGCAATCTGAAGAATCTACGAAAGCTACGCAGCTATAAACACAGAAAAAATGTTTACCTGAGAACGGGTTGAAGTAGGAAAGCAGCTGAAAGATTTGCCAACTTTATTTTCATTCCCCCACAAACACACTAAATTTTATATTTGCTTGCCTTTAAATAGGCAAATATGTGCACAAATGCTTGGCACTTCCATCTAATTGAGGCCGGAACGAGCAAACCCATTTGCCAAAAAACAAAAACTAAATGCCAAATTCACTCACTGGACTCATTAAGCTGGTTAGTGTGGGGTAAAAACTGGCGCTGTCTGGCGTTGACTTGACTAAAAATAAACTATGTTTGATCGTTGAGAGCAAGGCAGAAACCTATTCGGATGGCCTGAGCTTGGAGTGTTTTCTGTGTGCTAATGGTTTCCAGTTTCGGTTAAGGCTTGACTCGCCTTTATTTTTAACACAACTAAAAGGGAATCAAAATATCACATAAAATACCTAAAAAATAGATAAATACGTAAGGTTTCACGGATCGCTTAATCAGAGCGACGACGTTACTAAAAGTTCCATGGAAGAAATTGTGTCCTCATTATGCTCCAATGTATTTTGTGGTGACCTGCAACTTGGGAATTATAAGACACAAAGGTTAAAAGAACCTATAGACTGTAACCTTGTTACCATTTTTTTACATTTGCTTTCTAAAGTTTAGCCAATGTTTATGAACCCAGAAAAGACTCATAGTTCTTCTTCCGTTTCTTTTTATTAAAAATTAAGAAAATACTTCAAGCAATTTTGCAATGTCAATTAGGCTCCTAAATATTGATAAAGCCCCTATAATCTTCCAAGATAAAGTATTTTATTATGTTTCTGCTTACATAAATGTTATATATATTTATTTACATCTGTACAAATTCTCCTGAAATAAAAAACATGAGGATTTCCACTCCAAATCTTCTCCACCTCCTGATTAGTCTTTCATTAAATGCGCTAAAATTATTATAAAAATTCTTTTAAAGAACCAATTCCCCCGTTTAGCACATCCTCAATTGGCCTTCTCATTTACATTGATCCAAACACAAGATTTCCTGATTTCGTTTGTCGAATAAAAAACAAGTAAAGTGGATGCATGCCGCTGATATCCGGAGAGTTGAACAACAATGGCGACTTTTGGTGATGCTGCCGGGGACCTCTCGGACCGATATCTTAAATCTTTTCCTTCAAATTCAATTTGCTTTGTCCTCTTCCGAGAAAGCGTCCTCGACTCGGTTGGTTTTTTTTTCGGGTTGTGGCGATGATTATGGGTTCTCGACATTTCGGTTTTTGGGTTTCGGTTTCGGGGGTTGTTGTTCGATTTCAAGGGTTTGTTTTGGGGTTGCTAAACGGCGGCTAACGACGTGCCAATCTAATCCATTGAGATGTGACCATTAAGGGGATTTATCTCGGGACTTTTAGGTAAATTTCGCGGATTGGGTTCCTAATTCGCCAAGTTAGAGTCCACTAGTCGCTCGGTGATTCTATGCTCCTCGATGAGACACACAAGTGCACCGACACCTAATGGGATGGTGGGATCTCGATCGAGAGCACCAAGAACGGCTGTTGAGATCACCTGGAAGAGGTCGTCTGGCGACAGATCTGGCTGCCACATAGATGCACACATCCCCGTCAGCTGCGCTGCACAGGTACCGGCCACTGCAAATTTGTTGGACTCCCTCCTGCAACCGATCCAGTCCATGTGACAGATATATGGCCTCAGAGATTTGGTATTCGGATCGGGCTCCAGACCTACCACCATCGGCTCCACATAGTAGGGCTTTGAGCGTTGCTTGAACAGCAAATTCGACACCACAATCGAAAACTGTTGGGGACTCATTTGGCCATTATTGAACCCTTCCCTCAGCTGCTTGTGGTTGTCAGCGCGATCTCGGAGGGCCAGGATGTCCATCTGGAGACCGGTGAAGCCCACAAATGTGCGTTGAGATATCTTGAACACCTTCTTGAAGCCATTATCTGTGGGCTGAAGCTCCCGAACTCCAGTGTCATAATCCGTGGCAATGGCCACACAACCCTTGCCGCACATGGCAGCCATGCAGCCGCCGTTGTCGGTCCAAGGCGGCATTTTGGAAAGCGTTACGGAAAACATGTTTTTATTCTTGACAAATTCTTAAAGAATATTATAAAAAATTAAAAACAGTTTGTAATATACAAAGTGACTTTCATTTAGGTTGTTTTCAATGCCAGTTGTGTTTTGGCATTAATAGAAAATGTTAGCAGATACATTAGAAAAATATTTGAATCAAAAAAACATAAGTAAAACGAAAGAAACGAATCCTTTTTATGGAAATGTTTTTATTATACTGTAATGACAATCAAAAAAGTAACAATTTGAGTCATTATTAACCCTGGAATCAGCAATCTATAGTCAGTCATTGATTCAATCGAAAATCTGTGGTGCAACAAGCCAACAACCACTGTAAAAATATAGTAAATAAATATATTAAATAAATAATCCAGCAGAAGATATCTTTTAATATTAAAAATATTAATATTAATGTTAATATTAAAAATATTCTTTATTAATACATCCAAATCCAATAGAGTTTCTTCCGCAGATCTAATTAAATTTGTTTACATTATAGAAATTAGAAATTTTATTCGTTTCCTGCTAAGTTTAAATGTTGCTGTAACCTTACTGAAGAGTTTTCATAAAACTATTAAGATTCAATGTTTGTTTTTAACAATTTTTTTGGGCTAAATATGTAACATCCTAATCTGAGTTTGAGTTATTTAAGATATTACTTGCAACACTTAGTCAAGGATTTATAATACATCATTTATTGCAGATGGAAAACATTTACCCACAAAAACCAAATACACGAGAATAAACTACTACAGAAGAAATATTATTGGTTCAGATGAAGTATATTACTGCTTTCGGAAAAATAATATAATAAATATTTGTTAATGTAAAGAAAACTCTAACAGTTAAGATTTTTTTAATTTTAATAACATAAAAACAGTTAAAATCGAAACCAATTAAATTGTTCTTAAATATATTGTTTGAAGAAAGAAACAATAAATGTACGTAAATGATTCTTGAAACATAAAATTAAACTATCTAGGATTTTAAAACCTAAATTTAAACTAAATATTTAAAGATGTATTATTTAAGATGAAATACTATATATAAAGAACTTCTTTTAAATATCATTTAAAATTTTGAAGTGAAATAAAATAATTAAATTTCTTTTATTTTTTATACAAATAAAGAATTTCTTCTTTGGTTCTTTTAAAATTCTGGCTCTTTTAAAAAATTTAACACTAGTTGTACGATTTTAAAATTTGGCTTATGTAACTTCATCAAAATTTATAAAGCTATTTATACTACAGTATTTAGATAATCAGCTTATGAGGTTGATGTTACATTTTCGTATTAGGTTTTCGTATTTATATGAATTGTGTTTTTAATACACCTAAAATATATAGTGTTAAAATAATAATAATATTGTGCTTTCCATTGAGCACTTAATGTATATATTTGTTGTGGCTATTTAATATTGATTTATATTCAGCATAAAAGTTCTTATTAAAGATGTGTTATAATTTTCAAGTATCCTTCTTTAAGCACATTACTCTAGCTCTTTACTTTAATACATTTTTTTATGCTCAAGTTTTCTGTTTTTGTCTGTGCACTTCTCTGTCGAAATACACTAAATCCTTGGCCTGCCGAAAAGCTCAAGGAAATGAAATAAATTGCAAATAAATTCAATATGCCTCTTGGCTTCTCTGGCTGTTTGCTGCTCTTGCTGTTTTTTATGCCCCATTCTACATGTGTATGTGTGTGTGTGTGTGCGCCGGGGCGTATCTGTGTGTGCGCATTAGAGATCCAGTAGCTGCGATACATAAATCAAGGCCATAAATGGCAACAGCGCCAGCAGCAGCCGGTTGATTGGAGGCAGAGACATCCGATGCATTGTACTTTGCAGAGCTCCCAAGCTCCAAGAGAGAAGCTACCTCCTCTCACCTCCACTCCTTGAGCTTCATTTGCAATAACTTTGGGTGTCCGCAGTCCGAGTTCGGACTGTGTTGAGCCTGGTTTTCCTGGACGACTCCCCGTCGGCAGCAGGCCGCAATGTGTGTAAATCAATCTTTATTAAGTGCAAGCTTCACTGCGGCAGCCGTAAAACGTACAAAAACTAAGCCAGAACCTGTTTAAAGTGCAACTTTGAGGCAGCAGCAGCCAGTTTTTAGCCAACAATTGTCGCTCATACGCCGCGCGTGCCGTCGCAATTGGCAACTGGCTTTCGGCCCCCAAATCTGGCGACTCTCAGTTCTCGACTTCTCTCGCTCGCTGCCCCTCATATCGCTATTTGAAATCGCAATTAAGTTTTATTTTGTGGCGAGCATTTTTTAATTAGCAACGACGCGACGGCTGCCCCATTTGCAACGCTGCTGCTGCCTACGCCAAAAAGTCGCCAAGTCGGTGGACTTCCACATCGGCAATTGCTAATGACGCTGATTGCCGCCTGAAATCTGTTTGCCCCCCTCTCCCATTCCTCGCTCTGTCTCGCTTTCTCTGTATAGCCCTGTCTCTGTCCCTGGTTTGGGCCTGGTCCACAGTCGGACGTAGTATCGCCGCATGTATCTGCGTATCTTGTGTATCTGTATCTGCGCTAAGTGGGCGCTACAACTGCAGGGAATGCAATGCACGAATGCCCCTCTCTGTGTGTGTAAGTGCGAGCCAGAGTTGCTGATTTTTTTAAGGAGAAAAGAAGCTAGTTTTGACGGGAACTGAAGTGATTAAATGTTTTAAAAATATGAGAAAGAGATTGAAATCACTTGTTGTTTTTAAGCTTTAAATAAAATATAAGGGTTACCTTATCAACCCTACTTAATAATAGGTTTATTAGAAGTGCCTTGAGCCTAAAGTCAAAGTTTACAAAGGGAAACCTAAACGATATAAAAAAAGTTATATAAATAAAAAATATCAGCCATTTTTAAAGTGGTAAGTTTGGGTCTTAAACCTAACCTGGCGACCGTGAAGCTATTTGGGATTTAACATAGCACACGTTATTGAATATATTAAATAGTTTTAAGTTAATTTTATTAGATAAAAGGAAAATAAATTTAAATTAAGAAAATAATATATAACACTACAGTAACTTCTTTCTTTTTTTTCATTCCCAATAATATAAATTTAAAGACACATAAATAGCCATTTCGCCACCACAAATTTTCACGGAAATTTATACGTTTCTCGATTTTTAACACCCATGGGGGCACCACCACCACCGGGGAGATACACAGAGTACAAAAATAAATAAAAACAGAGACCACTAAATGCAACTGCAGCCTCATTGAAATTCCTGTGTCGCCGCGGCCGAGAAGGACCCGACGACATTGTGTGGCTAAAACGAAGCGGCGCCACCGACCGATCGATCGTTTCGGCCAGGCAGGCTCCACTGCGGTTTTCGGGCCAAAACACGTGAGGTTAAGAGGAGGTTTTCTGCCCAAGAGCCAACTAAATCGAATTGCGGTTTTGCCAGCCACCCATAATGGGCACGTTCGATTGGAAGTTGCGACTACAAAAACAGTACGAGTTACTTGGAAATGGTTATGGGAGGGATTGCTGCGGGAAAGCTCTCCTGCAATTTGGAATCAGTTAATGGGTATTGTTTTTTTTTTATATACTTTAATCAGTACATTGATTGTTCTATATTGTTGTTTTATTTTGTAGTTTTTTACTCACTGTGTTTTATTTTTAATGTCAAATTCACATTTTTGTGGTGTTTAAACATTACATGAATCTGTTTTTCGTACTTAAATATGGAGGTTTCTTTTAAGTATAGTATAATTAATGGATAAACATATGTTAGATGTGGTTTTGGTAGTGTTTCATAAAGTCCTTCAAACTAAGCTGCAAATGATTGTTTTTTAAGAGGTTATTATGTAAGAAAGCAAAGAAATTTTAGTGTTTAGATCCAAGTTTGTTACAAATGTATAAAAAATATATAAATACACTAAGAATATTATATATATAAATTATTGTCAGTTTCCTAAATGAAATTAAAAATATATAAAGAATAATAGAATTTAGTAAGAGGACTAACACTCTTTTTTATTAGAATTTTATTACATTTTCTGAGTACTTTTTTGCTCCTCTAGAGTATATTATTCTACGTAAAACTTGTTAAGTAAAACAGTTCTCAACTTGGTTTATGTTTCCTCAAATTTATATATTTTTCGTTTCCATCCAATGTATAATTACCTGTCTAGACTTATAAACTATAATATAAAGTGTAAAGTAACTTTAACTGTCAAAAAAACAAATATAAACAATAAAAATATACAATTTTACAATCAACTTGGTAACAAAGAGTGTATTTATTTCCGATTTTTCAAGTCCATGACCGTAATTTCATAAATTTTATTAGATATTTAATACCCATGACTCCATCATAAAGCCATAAAGTGCAATGATCATTATTCAGGTTATTAGGCTTATAATTTATTCGTTATGTTCGCATTTGGCTAAAAGTCAAGTTCACTTGTTGTGCTGTGCATTTTCGCATTTCCCAACCATTTCATATTAATCTGTTTTCCCGCTTGCCAAGCATTTTCCACAGAATGTTTTCCCTCTCTCGGCACCCCGAGGTGATTTGATTTGATTCTCTTTGTTGCTTTTGGTGTTTCGATTATTTTGTTATTTTTATTTCTCTTTTTTTTTTTTGCATTTTTGGTTGCAAACAAATTTGCATTTGACTTTTATTGACATATTCGCATTTTTATTGATCGTTTTAATTTGCATTTCGATTTCAATTTCGCTGTTGTTGTACTTGCAAATAAAGCGAAGGCCTTTTTGCATTTTATTTGCGTTCTGGGTCTCTGCGATTTTCGCATTCGTGTGCATATAGTATAGTTACTGTATAGTATAGTATATATATATATCTGTGTGTGTTTTGCATTTTATTTTTGCCCCGCCATAAACTGGTTGCTGTGCCTCACGCTGGGCGCAGCGGAAAACACACATTTGCAATATTTATAAAAAGTTTTTATTGCATTAATTATTTAATTTATGACTTTCTTCTCGCTTTACGACTCTGGAATTTTTCGCATTCG